ACAACTGCATCAACTTGGTTCTCAATAAAGTGCATATTATAGAACTATTTGAGATGGGGATATTTCATTAGATAAATGACACCTTTATTCTGCCCAATCAGTAATAAGTGTAGGGTTTCCTGCCTGAGCAGGGGGTTGGACTCGATGACCTCCAAGGTCCCTTCCAACTTTATTATTATTATTATATACAGGGATGACAGTTCCAACCTTGCAGCCATGCCAAAGCTCTACCTTGGGACTGAGTGAACTTCCAGTTCAGAAGCATGGTTAGTGATTTGAAAATACTGGCATGCGATATGCCGATTTTATTCTTTTGTTTAAAAAGTACCATGCCATACTCTGCCCTCCCCCAAAACAGCTAAACTCCCTGCTGAACTGGTTATATTTTTAAAAGCAGAAACTATTTGCACAACACTCAAATGGAGCGGATGCCCTTTTCATTGTAGAGGGGTGGCATAGAAAGAATTCAGGAACATTGGTTGACTGCAGAGTGCAAGTTTAAAGTAAGTACAACATATTATTAGGCTGAGCATATTTCCACATGGTGGTTGTTGGTTTTTTCCCCTAAATAAACCCTAGGGAATGCACTCATGGCTGGCTAAGGCAGAAGATAAGGAACAGGAACAAGGAAAGTCTGGTGAAGATGTGCTAAAATATATCTTCCCAGAAGGCAAATGAAGGAGTCCTTCAACCCTCTTCTGTTCATATTGAGCAAAACATTGTCTCTGTGCAAGTTTACCTTTGCTCTGAAAGAATAGGAAGCTTGCCTAAGCAGCATTGAGGAAACAACCACCAAGGAACCTGGAGATGGCAGAAGTTCCTGGCCATGGGATTCCAGTCAGCTCTGGAGCAAACACTGCAAAATTCTTCTAACATCTCCTCTGGAGGAGTAGCTGAACTGAAAGATCATTGGTTCGGTTCACAAAAATCTCTGAAAGGAGCAGAGCATTGTGAGATCACACGGGCATGGCACCGACCTCATGAAACAGGCCTGAATTTTTACAGACTGATACTTACCTGAGAAAGACATAGCTTGTAGTTTTGATACTTTATTTAGAAAACATTTGTCCTCTTTTTTAATGTGTAATTTTCTAAATTGTAATGTCCATATATTTCAGTTCCCATAGAAAGGATATTCCCATAGTGTTTGTAGTTTCAGTGTAATGTAATGAAGGAACAGCTATAGACGTCTTCTGTGTGATATATTAAAATGAACCAATAACCTTTATTGTCATTTTTTACTGTGGGCACATTAAAATGAAATTTACTTGCTTGCTCCCAAAGTGCGTAATCTATTAGCACCAAAGGTAAATATTGAGGGAATTGTCCCAGCAACCACAGTGACGAAGAGGAAGAGTTAATACCCATTCTCCTTTGTTTTCATAATTTCTTAATTTTAATTGCTTACACAAAATTAATACCACATAGAGGTAGTCTTTGACCTAAAAGGTTATTGGGACCAGAATTTCCGATGCTAGGCAAGGCAGTTGTTAAGTGAGTCATATCCAATTTTATAACCTTTTTGCCACAGTTAAGTAAAATGTTAAAGGTAATTGTATATTTCTTTAGGCAAGTATTATGTTTTTTTAGTAAGAATAAACTTTATTGGGACAATTGGTCATATAGGCCATTCTCAATTACTGACTGCAACCCCCCCCCCCTCCTAACAACTTCATTGCAAAGCAATGCAATTGTTAAGTGGAAAATCACATAGCCATGATTTGTAACTTTCTGCCACCTTCCCCACTGATTTTGTTGTTGGAAAGTGGCTGTGAAGGTCACACATGGTGATCACCTAATTGCACAATGCTGCAACCATTGCAAATGTGTGCTGGTTGCCAAATGTCCAAATTGTGTTCACATGACTGCTGGCACCCTGCAATAGCCACAATTTCACAGACCACTGATAAGTCTCTTTTTTCATCATGTGCCATAATTTTGAACAGTTATTGAATGTGGTCAGTAAGTGAGAACTACCTGAATTATTTTAATGTTGTCAATGAACATATGATTTCCCCACAAAAAGCATGCAGTTGGTCATGTACATTTGACTGCTGTTTAAATACTATGAAAATGGAGCATAGTATTAAAAATACTGCTAGCATATTTTAACAAATTATACATCAATAATGAAGCCTGAGAAAAATGTAGTTCATGTCCCTTGAAAATCTAGCCAAGTCTAGAAGAATTTTTCATTAACTGAAATCTGAAAGATTTATTCACTCATGCATACACATTTTGCAACATATATTTTGCATCTTTGCTTTAATATTTCCAAAATAATTTCAATACACCGCTGATATAGTTCAATAATTTTTGATGTGATAGTTGTAGCTTCAAAGTTACACTGTATAAAAACTGCTACCAAAATCTTAAAGAAAACTTTGTGAGGTTTACCCTCAAGGAAATTGTCCTAAAGTAACATCAGGATTGGCCCACCTCAATCCAGATTCAAAGACAATCTCTCTCGGATCACTAAAAGGGCTAGCTATCTTTCATGACATTTTTATAAATATCTTAGTATAATTTGGTTAGACACTCTAATACATGAAATACTGGATCAAATGGAATTTTGCTTTGATTATAAAACAGAATTGTGATAACATAATGAAAATAAAAAGATCACAATGACAGATGAAGAATGCTACATTACACCATGGACATACCTGCCTTGAAAATTTATTAAAAATCAAAGAATACAAAACTTCACATAAAAATATGTATTTTTAGCTTCCCACATTGTTATTACACACAAAAAATGAACATATTTTATCAGTCATCCACAGAGGCATAGAACATAACCAAAGTGGTAGCCAGTGCAATTTATGGTTAATCATGACTGAATGGGACATGATATCTGTTTCTTTTAAGTCTATCCTGCTTTTAAATGGAACTATTTAGAACATCAATATTTCAATAATATAGATTCATAGTCAATATTGCTAGCATGTAGAACGATTATAGGTTTATAATCAGCCCTTGAATGATTTATTCAAGTTTAGATCCCTTCCTATACCAGATTCTACTACGAGCTTTTCATAAGATTTGAAAAATAATCAAAACAAAAATACTGATTCCACTATAAAGCAGAGCTGAGGTTTTGGCAATTCACCATCTGTTTACTCTTTATTTGTTGTCCAATTACTGTTCATCTGAAGTATTAACAATCAGGGGTTGACAATATTATCAAATATTGTTTTGGGGAAGGAAGGAATTTTGGGGAGAAGTTTTTTTTTTAAAGGTGGGTAGCATACTTAAGGGGCTTCAGTATGGAGATGGGGACATAAAAACCTGTGTATGTATAGAACATAGTTTGAAGGTTCAAGAGTTGTTTCCAGAGGAAATAATATATAATATGTGATAAGGAGTATGACAGGGCAACTTGCAGGTAGAGATAAACAACCACAGGGTACATTTTCAATAACTTTCACGTTCATATTTCCCTTAAATTTGCAAACTTTATACATCTTTCCATACAGATGCTGGCTAGTATAGTAAACCTTGTATTTTATGCCTGTCTTTCTGATTATCTTACAATCAATTTAAAAGAGGATACTAGATCAAGATGAACTGTAGACAAAATATGTGCTACTCTGCTTTGGAATGTCGCAATCTTTTCGCTCATGATATTCAAAGGCCTTGCATTTGTTTTGAAAAAAATCTCTAGCATATGCTACATCAGTTTCTGACCATTCTTTGTCAAACATTCGCTGCTTAAGAAAAGTCATTTCCATGTACAATTTAAGATGTCAAGATACAATTTCTTCAAGCAGAATTACTAAACACGGTGCTTTCCAAATTTTAAAAACTTTTTTTTCAACGAAGAAAAAAAAAGCATAAAAAGATTCAGTAAGTGATATAAGAAACATGATACTTTTTAAATGCAGGGTAGGCTGTACACACAATTTCAGGTTTTAAAATAAAACAAATATGTTGCCATGATGATACACACTTGCATAGTATATCTGTATGCATCTTTAAATCAGTTGCTTGCCATACAGATTATCTCAATACCACTGGGCTGTGTCTTTACAAAATAATAGACTAATACTTCAGAATGCATAGAGAAGCCAGAAGATACATTTTAGGTAGTTGCTCTCAACAGAACTAATGCAGGCTGCTAATCAGATTCCTTAATGGAATCACTACACATTCCTTTCTCCACATTCTTCAAGTTGGATGCTTTATTTCACAATGGTCCAAGCAATCAGAAGGGAAATGAAATTGACGAACTGGTATCTGTAATTTGCAGTTAAGAGTCAGGGAGATATAGAAACACACACCTCATACATACACACACACATTACATACACACACAAATATATCCCTGACACTTAACTGAATATATATATATATATATATATATATATATATATATATATATATATATATATATATATATATATATTCGCAAACTTGATTTGTAATAGTAATTTTGTCCAGCCGTAGCAAGTAAACTGAAGATTCAAATTTTTTACATGATCCCCACTAAAATAAACATGAGATCTGTAAGAGCATTAGATGGCATTTTATCTCATAAGATTGAATTTAGCATTACATGCCAGACTAGTAAGATAACTAGTCAAAATGCCTTTTAACTCAATCATTATTATAAATACTTAAGCCAGACCAACAGTTCCTCTACAAATTAGGAAGCTTCCGATATTATTAGCTTGATGTGTTAAATTGATTGCTTAGCTAATCTACCAGAAGCATGAACCCAACTTAGAAAATGCAACTTGGGAAAGGATCTGTAAAAAAAAGAAAGAAATTTTCTCTCTCTCACACAGACATGAGCAGATGTGTGTGCATATGTGCACACCTGTTTCATAAATATATTCATGATTAAAACATTCCAAGTTATTGCATGTTATGTTTGATGTGAGTAAGGCAACAAAACCAATTGTAGAAGAAATGGGAAGGTGGTGAACAATACCACAAATAAAGTTTTGTAATGGAAAATAACATTCAAGCAACCCATTCTCCTTCCAAGAAAACAAAACAACCAATTATAAACAAATGCAGCTACAGCAAAGTGCCACAGCATTTATGGTCCTCCCAATAATCTTACCAGAGCTGTTTCAGCACTGTAATAATCATGGATAGGCAGAAGACAAACTTCCACAGTTTAATAAGGCTTCACGATAAGCACAATTATTTCTTTTAAGATGGACTCCATCACCACACACGAAACATGCAAACGTTGGATGCAGATATTTGGCAACATCCACAGACAGATGTACTCAGTGCTGGTCTCAAATCCTCCCAGAGCAGTATCACACACACTGCATTAGTTTAAAGAGGACTCTGAAGTTGGCCATTATCTGCTAAGGCTAATAGGCAAACTGTCCCTGTACTTCTTTCTCCTCCAAATATTACGGTTGTGTTGGTGATGACCTCTGTTGCTAACTGGCTGCCTTACAGCTCCATTACTGGCAGAATTGTATCCGCTGCCTTGATTATGAGCTCCTTTCACAGTGAACTTCACTCCATTGTGCTGCTGAAAACAAAGGAAATATTTAGTATTACTGCCAACTATTTAATATTATTGCCAATGTTTCATTAATGTTGTCTCATGCAGTTCTTAAATAATGAATTTATACTTATGAAAAAGCAATACAGCATTCAGAGATCTGCAACCAAAATTTAAAGGAAAGTTACATTCAGGAAAATTAAAGCAGTACTATATTACTTCGACGAATTCCATGAGAAGTGCCAATCAAAGAAGATATTAGGTCTGCTCTTTCTGAATTTTAAAGGATCATTTCTCACCTACTGCCCTGCAAAAGAGATTTTGAGGAGAAGAGATAGATGAGACTAATTCCAATATATTCTACACTAGGAATTTACAAAATGTTTCATTTTTGAAGCATTCTGAGTTTGTTTTACATTTTAAGTATGAGATATTTCAACTACGATAGGAACAGTGCATCTTTAGCACAAAACAAGGTACTTTTGAATTCACAGTGATCTAATATGTACCATTCATTGTTTTATGAGGAGACAGATTACTTTTTATGCTAACATTCATTGCTGTGATTTCATTAATTTATATTTTTCTTACTCATATGCTGACTTGCAAGGAACTTACCGTCAAAGACAAGATACATATAATTGAGGCAGAGTGGCATCCTAACTCTAACCCTGTGATCTAAATTACTTGACAACTTACAATACAACATTAATCTGAATATTTTAGATATTGTTTTCTGAGTCCGATGACATTATGAAATGGATCTATTGATGCTGTATATGCTTTTGCTTTAAAGAGTTAGAATACATTTATATTATCCTAATTCAAAGATGAAAACTGAAGAGACTTGCATGGCATAGACTGAAATCTGAGAAGTTTTTTTCAGATTATGATGTGATAATATGGTTTAGAATATTCTGAGTACTCTGAATATTTATTTTTTTATTCAATTACTAATAAGAAATCATGCCAGAAAGATGTTTTTGGTATTCTATACATGTGTGTGCCATCCTCACACATGGAAATACAAAAACATTTTTTTAGAAAATGGGTATTATGTTGTAGATGAACAAGTAATAATGTCGTATTTTGGCAGCTTCTAGACCACTCTCTCTTTCAATATTCCTAGCTGAATATTTTTCCCATCTCTACTGCAACTTTTCTCTTTTCTTAGCTTGATCATATTTTGGGGGATATCTTAGAACTATAGCTTGGCAAATCTAACACACTTTTGGAGAAATGTCCTCCCCAAAGTGGCTGCTGAACAGTAAGAGGCTTTTACTCTCTTATCAACAATCTACTGTTTCTGCTGCCAAAGCTGGTTCTCTGGCAGTGCTTTTCCCTGGATTTGAATGGGACACTCAGGAATGACCCAAGACGAGTTTTGGATGGCCAGGGACCTATTTGGAAAGGACAGTCTTGAAGAGTCCAGTTCCCTCTGGAAGCAGTAGGAAAGTCACAGGGAGAATCCATCTTCCTTTCAGCAGTTTCATTCACCTGGATTTTTAATTTTCACTTTTTGAATTTATTGTTTTACTTTGTTTTTTGCTCTTAAAAATTGACCAGTGGTTGGATGCTGATTTATTTCAACCCCTTGCTGTACTCTGTTTTTTCCATTTTCTTTCCCTTTGATTTATGTATGTTATTCGGAATAATCTTTTTGTTCTTTGTATATTTGCCTTCATCCATAACCTGTGTTCTCTCTGTAAGGAAGCATGCCACATTTCTGTATAGTGAAATGCTTTCATTTGATTTACATTAATATTGGACTCTCAGTACAGGATTTTTGGACTTTTTGAATTTACAAAATATTTGGAGTTTATCTCTTTTGAATTTTTCCTTTAACCTTGGATTGAAATATCCCGATAATATCATTCTTGTTTCCATCTGCTTCAGGTTTTTTTTTCTTCCCTCATCTAGTTAACAAACATAGATATTTGATCCAGGATGAATTACTTTTAAGTTTTGAGATGATTTGGGATAGACAAGATGCTGTGGCAAACCTTTTATGGGTGGATTACAATAACAGTTTGTTAACAGAGAGTTTTGAAACCTTAATCTTGTATTATTATTATTATTATTATTATTATTATTATTATTATTATTATTATTATTATCTATTTTGTCATTAATATAGTATATAGAAGACAAATCAATAATTTGCAAATAATTTTACTAGTTTAAAAATTGGGGGGCTGTTTTACAAGGGGTGGGAAACAATATTTTAGTAATGTATTAATCAGTATTCAGTTGGGGGGATAACATGTATATGTGTTGGGTTTTTTGTTTTTGATGCACTTTTTTAATGTCTTGATTGCTTTGTTTTTCTTTCGGGTTTTGTTTGTTTTTGAAGTTTTTGGAGTTTTGTATTTTAACTTTCTTTTGAATAAAATAAAATAGAATAAAAAAAAAATAAAAGCTAGGAATCTTGAAATTTCCAGTAGAGTGGCAACTATTTAAAATGCTTGTTAGTTAACCTAGCTAACACGCTTTTTGAGGTTTTCTATATTAATGATTTAAAATTATTTTTCTAGGGATTGCTACATTTTCATCTTTTCAATCATCCTAAAAATTGCTCTTTTTCTCTTAGGTAGTGTTCTGGTTTATTATTTTCAAAATTCTTGCGTGAGCAAATTAAACACAGAATGTTTCACATACCTGATTATTCGTGGCCATAATCAATGCTCTTGCAGGCACAGACTGATTTTTACCACTTGGCATAGTTAATGCCGGATGTATTCCAGCCGTAAGTGGAGATGGTGCTTGCAGGCTGAAGTGGTATATATTAGGAGTTGTGCAAGGTGGAGTATCAGAATCCTTAATGTTACACAAAAGGAGAAAATATGGGATTTTATTTTATTTTATATGCATATATGTATATATATAAATATATATATATATAAAGAACCTGTGATGACACATTTAAAGCAGGATGATTTTGCACTGAACATGTTACAGAAATAATCTCTCTAGAGGAGGATCAGTAAAAAAAATATTTTGGAAAAAATAACTGTTTCTGACTTTCCATTACTAGACTGTAAAAATAAGTTAAATAAGTGCCTTGAATAAACAGTTCTTAACACTATCCAATTGCTATTCTTCTGATTAAGCAAAACTGCAACTGATTTTTCATGCCCAGACTGAGCTAGCTAGGCACTTTTTATAGCGTGTGCTACTTCAATCAGCAGTCATGATATCATTTGTGGAGAAGTCACAATTTATCTAGGCTTCTTTGTTTTCTGTGGTATCTATCTGTCTTTAAGGACTCAATATGTAATTAGTTCCACATATGTAAATGTTTTTAAAAACTAAAAAACATTTTAGAGTAAAATTGTAAACATTAGATTAAAATCATAACTATGAGACTAAAATAGAAATGAAAAAAGTTTTTATTTTTTAATTAACATTCTAATCTACTTTCATTTTGAGAATTTCTTTAAAAAACTTTACATTAAATAAGATAATGGTTTCAAATCTATGTTCTGATTATTTACTTATGGTAATACATTAATTATATTTTTAGATAGATTATATATTATTTAACTACACATTTAGAGGAAGCTTGGCAGGAACAGTGATTTCAAGCTTATATATATTTCAATAATATGAATATTACAGTAACAACTGTATTTGTGATCTTATAAAAGAGCTTGTTAATTCAGATATTATTCAGATATTAACTTTCACATGTATGTAGACAGCAGTTTAAATAGAAAAAAAGATAAAACTTACAACATCACTTCCAGAAAGAGATGATACTGATGAGGCAGATGAACCTGATGATAATTGTTGCATATCAGTAAATGACAAAGTCAAAGGTTGGTTGTAAAGCAATTCGGTATCTCTAGTCTGGGTTGCACTCTCTGAAGATATTGATTCTCTGTCTTTCAGCTGAACATCTGGTGTCACACATGTTTATATGTCAATATATTTTCTTTTCACTTAAAACTCTGTTTCGAGTGTTGTTAGTTTTAAAGTTTTGTTAGTTTTACTGAACAAAACATTGCTGATTAAGTCAGCTATTATATCAAAGATATTTAAGACTGAAATAACATGCAAAGGAACTACAGTTTGTATTTTATTAATCTCAACAAATTAAAATCAGGAATCAAATACCCTGATAGGCATGGATTCACATGTTTATGTCAACAAATCATAAAAAAGCACTGAGGGAAATGTTGAGGTAAGTTGAGTACTGAACTGGATAGCATGAAACATGGCATAAGAAAATAAAAATAAGAAAAGTATGATAAAAATAATATGGGGTTTATTTTTAGGATCAATATATTTACTTACCAAGATCAGATGAAAAGTTAGCTTTGTTTCCCCATTTTTTTTTAATCCATGCTCTGTAGTCAATCACCTCTTCTGTCACTTTAATAATTCTACCTAAAGTACTAGAAGAGATGTTGATCAGGATAAGAAATCAAGACAACAGTGACACATTTTTTTAAAAAAATCTGAACTTCACTATAGACAACATAAGAACAAAAAAACTTTTTTTAAAAGATTTGCACACATTCAATGTCGATCTTGGTTTTTTTCAACTGATATTAGCTCTTCTTTCCAGGGTGCTGTATTACAAGAGGATAAATATTATGTAGCCCTAGAATTGAATACATATTATACTTCCTCTAAGTGCCATGATGAGTGGATTCCCTGCTGCCTTTTGTTAGCTAGCAAGACAGCTTTGCAAGAGGAATTGCTACCTAATGCTGGATCCCAGTCCGGTAATCTTTCCAGAACAAAGGAGCGATCAATGACATTATCCACATGACTCCACACAACAGCTCCTCATGAGTAGACCATGGAGACCGTCATTTTTATAGCTGGCTCATGAGTAGAATAGCTGCGAGTTGGGATTTACATCAAGCTCAAACTTGCAAAACAGCCTTTATGGACACGTTTCTTGGCCAAGCCTTATATCTTAATCACATATAATTTGGGGGATTATTTTATTATTTGCATATTGGAGAGATCAAGGCCTCTTGGATTGGCAAGGCACTACGGCATTCATCAGGCGAGTTCTCCTTTCCTTAAAAGATGATAGTGTACATTTGATTTTCAAGGTCCAAAAATCTAAGATTTGTTTTACTAGGGGCTTAGTGATTGGATTTTGTGAAGTTAATAACTGATTAATGGGCCAGAGGGATTTTGAAATACAGCTCTGAATTGTTTAGAAGATACTTTCTCATCGAAAAATGGAGACTGTTTTGGAGTGGATTTTTTTTAGCCAGGGGATAAAGAAAATGGAGCAGAAAATCCTTACTGCAATAAATTTTGGACAGAATGGATCAATGTTTGATAAAATTGATAGAGTGAATTTTTAAAAGAATGAACTTCAATAGATGTTTATGAAACTAATTTGAAGGGGACCTTAAATGTAAATTCAAATGGGATCTGATGGATACCTAGAGGAGATGAACAGATATTAAATCAGGAAATTGATTTGGATTATTGTTTGTCTGCATATACAGAAAAAGCTCAATTATGACTTGAAAGGATTTTTTTAGACATGACAAGAAAAAGGATGCATTTTATTTATGGGTACAAGAGAAATCTGTACAAGTTCTAAAGAATTTTTGCTTTGAAACACAAATGAGCAGCAAACTACCTCTACAACTTTTTAAAAAAAATAATGGAAGATTTATAAGATTGGCTTATTTGACCAGGTGTAAAAGAAGAAAATAGTTTATCAGTTTGCTCTTATTGGAATTTTGCTGGTAGATTAATATAGCATTATGATTTTGTTTTCTTTATGTAAGAGATGATCTATGGGGAGAAGACAGATTATGTTTTACTTAGAGTTATGTTTTATTTAAAGACAATGATAGCTATTAAAATTGTTTTTACTTCCTGGAATGAAGGAGGAAGTTACTTCTTTTTTCTTTTGCTTTTTTCTTTATTTTTATTTTTCAAACCTCTCCCCCTTTTTTTGAAGTTTGTATTAACTTTTATTCTTTACACATATAATTCTGAATAAAATTATTTTTTTAAAAAAATGAATATATTCTTCTTTGCAACATTCAGAGTTCCTCCTCTGATCATACTTACAAATTCTAGAAGTGCAATGTGAAGTTTAACTTCACACTGCACTTCCAGTTTAATTTTATATTTTGAAGCTTAAATGTATATTCCTCAAAAACCTCTGGACTCCTACTGGCCTGCTCACTTTTTAAACTGCAGCACCTGGCATGTCACTCAAAGCCCAAATGCAGCCCCGACTTTTAAAAGACTATGTACCTCACCTATACAATGAATACATTCTCAAATAGTTACCTTTCTGAATCTCTATTAGGATATGATTTTGCAAGTGGTGATACTGCATGGCTTAGAACAATGTAGGCATAGTCAAAAACTTGCTTTACTTGCATGGCACCATAACAACTTCTTCCAACATCATTGCCTGTAATAGTCAAATTTTTAAAAATCACACTCATTATCCAGTTGACTCCATTATCCAGTTGGCTTCACCTTGTCATGCTTACAATGCTTAAAATTCTTGGAATAGGTAAGATATCTCAAGGAGAGATGTGCACTCTATACACTTGCATATGTACTAAATGGTGCCTGATCTTCCTGGTTACAGTAATCTATTCTTTGACATACAGAATTGATATTTCTTTAAAATAACAGTATGCTGCATCCCAGTTTTCTATCTACCGTTCTTAAAATTGAAAAAACTTCAACCATATCATTTTTATTCTGCACTGGATTTGGAACCTCAATACCATGTTTCTCTGAAAATAAGACCCGGTCTTATATATATAAGTGGGAGTCCTGGTTGCAATATATATATTGGTTGCAATATATATATTGCTCCAAAAGAGGCACTAGGTCTTATTTTGGGGGGATGACTTACCCGCTTACCTCAAACCTCTGCAACCAGGACTCCCATGCCCTGACACCTGTCACACCGCTGCCTGACGTCTTCTGCAGCCGCTTACGGCACATGGCACTTTGGCTGGTGCCACTGCTTGCAGCAGGACACATGTTATATCTCACCAGTGCTGTTGCTTGCGGCATGACGCCATGTGTCGCGTTCCGTTGGTGCCGCTGCTGGTGTGTGTCACAGTGCAATGCGCCATGTGGCCTCCTGCCATGAGTGGCGGCACCGGCGCAATGCGCCACGTGGTCTCCAGCTGCGAGAGGTGGCATCAGTGCAATGTGTCATGTGGCCTCCTGCCGCGAGTGGCTGCCAGCAACCAGAAGTGGGCCAGTGGCCACGCAGGCTTCTGCTGGATGGGTTGCTGCTGGTGGTGCCGCTGCTGCGAGGCGAGCCAACACATCAGGGCATGGGAGGCCTGGCTGCCAGGGTCCTGAGGTAAGCAGGTGCAGGGCACATGGGGCAGCTCCACCCCCGCACCCTAGCTTGATTTTTACACATGCGCCTCACCCCAACTCATACAACCAGACTGTGGGACGGAGTAGGCGGGGTCTTAACTAGGGCTTATTTTGGGGGTAGGGCTTAATGTCATAAATGGCAATCATGTGACCCATGGGATGTTGCAAACAGCTGTAAATGCAAGTCTGTTGTCGAGAGCTCGAGGCCAGCCATCAGAACGTTGGAACCAGGTCTCAAGTACCATTTGGGGGACAGTTGTAACTTCAAACAGTTACTAAACTACTGGTGGTAAGTTGAGGACTACCTTTATATCACTGGCTGACAAACCAAAAGGAAATAAAATTATCTTTGTCATACTGTTTCCCACTGCAGACTAAATACATGAAAAATATGAGATTTGTAATCCCAGAAAAGTGTTTTGTCATATTTTGGTACTATGGATACTGACTAGTACAATACAAAACACGCAGATACACCACTGTTGTTTAACAATCAAGTTTGGTTCCAATGACCAAGGTGTTAAACTAAATGGCTGCTAAGTGATTACATGACTGAAAGTTACTGTGAAGATCACTGGCTGCTGCAATATCATTCAGATAAAAGGTCTATCCTATAGCTATGCCAGCATTACTCTCACTCCAGTATGCCTCGTTATCAGACATGTGATATTTGGCTGTATATGAACCCTGGAAAAACTGATTCCAGTAAATATTCCACAGCTTTGTTCTTGTGAATGATAATGCCTTCAGCCTCTCTCTCCCCAGAAAAACTATGCTATAAATGTAATAAACAAATATTGCATAACAAGATCTAAGAGTATTCTTTTAAACATTTCTTTCAAAGTTTCTGGGCTAAACGTTGACAGTAATGTATGTCATCTTACCAGGCAGAAGGGGATCTTCAATACATAACATGGATGGTCGATATCCATTAGTCATGGTTTTCATGATTTCTTCTTTGGCAATATAGGCACCTCCATTTTTTATTCTAATACCAGTTTTTAAGTAATTAAAATTCCTTCCATAGAGTTCAAAAAATTCTATTAGAAGCATTCCTAGATTTTCATCATATCTTCGAGCATCAATTCTTGGGTGCAACTATTATAAATGAAAATCACAGGATTTTATTTTCTTACATAGCAAGTAGTATTTATATATTATCAGCTAAAGTAATTCTTCCTTTTTTAAAAAAAATATTTTTTATTTTTACATTGCCAGATGATAGTATTTGCCAGTGTTCAAAAAGTAAAAAACGTCTTTATATGACTTGCTTACAAAATTTATGTTTCACTGCATAAATATGATTCTGTCACATCTCATTCCCACATTTTAAAGGATAAATCTTCTAAACCAGGGTGAAAATGGGATGGATAGTATGCTATGTCTGGTATTATCAAGGATCTGAAACCTCTACTCCATTACAGATTTCTCACAATTTTTTGGTAAATACTAGAATTGGTAAAAACCGAAAGGAATATTACCATAATACCTTAAATAGGTACAATAATTACCCAACAAAAAAGTAATTATCTAAAAATTATGGATGGGCGGCCTGTCTTATATTCATAATAGAAAATACTACTGAAAAGACACAATTAGTATGAGATACAAACGGCTGCAGAGGAAGTAGTGGGGATGATTTACTGCCACCAATAAATTCTAGACCAATGGGGCTCAACCCTGGTGTCCACTTAATGAATTTTATGCCATCCATCTGTTACATAAAATATATTTTGCCATGTTTTGATAGGTATTCATATATGTAATATTTTATGTGCTTTCATTAAACTGCCTCACTATGACACTATTTTCATAGCTGCTAAGTGTTTATGACAGCAATTTTTAGGCCACCCAGAGTCACTTTGTATGGAAGATGGGCGGCATAAAAATTTAATAAATAAATACATCTGAAATTCTCTGTCAAATCAAATACAGTTTTTGGCCCCTAGAAAATTGTCCACTTGTGCTGCAAATGAAAAGCAGAATTATTTCCAAACTTCTTAAAATACAGTGGATTTCCTAAAGAATAACATACCACAATCAATCATCAAATAATTATAGTCCAATTTAATAGATTAATTTACCTATATAAAATGTATCATTCATGTAACAGTATTATAACAAGCATTTAAGTGAACATTTAGACAATTGATGATACTTATGAAAAAGGACATACCTGTAAGAAGCTAATTGCCATTAAAATTAAGCTATAGGAGCTAATTCCACCAGTAAAAACCTCATTCAAATCCCTCTGAAGAAGGAATTGCTTTAATACTAAAATCAAGTAAGGCAGCAATGAGTATTTCTGTAAATGAAAAAAACAGTCAGTTCTAAAAGGAAACATTTTTGCTTATGAATACAAAAGATCACACACCAAAATAATATACCACATACTATAACAGGTAGGAAAATGAAATAGCAAATGTTTATTATCTACATGTTTATTCTTTATAAAAAGTAGGCAACTGTTTCACTCATTAAAATTTGATAAGTAACAAAAATACAAGGCAATTGCTACAAACATGACATGTAATTATGATACATAAAAAATGAATAAGCACAAGATAAAAATCAAGGGAACATGTTCTTAATCTTGGACAAAAATCACTAAATGGCAAACAAACACTCATGCATATATACTCTGTGTAGGCACAGAAAATTTAATTCTGTTTATTCTATCAGGAGCTTGCTTTCAAACTTATGAACTAAGATCACGTCTCAAAACCAAAGCAGAAGAAAAAAGGTAACACATGCTACAGTTAAGCAGGTGTGACTTGCAAAGTAGTTTATGACTGAATAACTATTTTTGTAAGAACAATTAAGTAAATAATTTATTGTTCATTAATACACAAATATAAAATAGTTCTTTCAAAAGAGTTCTTAGATTTATAGGTAGTCCTTGCTTACCAACTGCTTGATTTAGTGACTGTTCAAAGTTATGACAGCATAAAAAGGAACTTTTGAAACCAATCCTTGCATTTATAACTGTTGCAGTGTCGATCGTAATTGTCATTTGTGTGCTTTGCAACAGATGCACATTTACAATAGTTGTAGTGTCCCACAGTCACATGATCACCATTCACCTGCTTCACAACTGGTTTGTGACAAGCAGAGGTAATATAGAAGGCAGAACTTGCTTAACAAATATGGTGCTTTATTTAATGGCAGAAGGGAAAGTAAGTTTGTAAATCCTTCAGTCACATGATTTTCTGCTTAGTGACTATAGTGCTTAACAACAGAGTTGCCCGTTCCAGTTATGATCACTAAGCAAGGATTACTTGCATTAGCTTCAAAAATTTAGAGTTACAACATCTAATAAATATATTGACGACAAAGATTGGAGCCTGCATGTAGACCTAGATTCTTTGTTACAGCAAAACATCCTATTAAGTGTAAAATAGATCTTTCCATTTATGTCACTAGTCTGTAATCTATCACTAGGTTTGCTCACTAGGAGAACAAGTCTGAGCAAGACTAAAGTCACAAGAATTTGTCTGGATTCCAGAAGATTATAAACAACCAGAAACACTTTTGTACGAAGCTCAGTTTGATTAATTCTACTTTCTACTTTCAGCAATTACCAATCCACAGTCCTACAAAACATCTGAATTACTTTGCTTTCCAATCTGGTTTGTTTCTCATGAATCAAGATCCAGAGCATGAGCATCCAAAGTATCAACAGATATGCTTTAGGCACAAGCTCTTTTAGGCACAATTTCAGAGATTTTATACGAATAATTTCCAAAGAGAAATTTACCATAAATTGTTATTTTTGTCATTATGTTGGTACTTTAATGAAAATGTACGTATCTTGGAAAAACACTACTTTTTGGAGGACTGATCATGTATATTATTTTAGTAGCTTGGAATTGGACATAATAGGCCTGATAGAAAGCAAAGGAATCTATAATAATTTTTTTAAAAGCTCATCATGTCTAAATGAAAAGTCTAAAATGTTTGATTGAATTACTACATTTTGCATTTGATATGACATTCTACTTTCAAATATATAGCTATAAATTCTTGAACGATTATGAGCAGATATGGGGAAATATTTCAGAGAGTTCTTGAATATATTTTCTAAGAGGACCATGAAGTATATAATCCATCAATATCTGCTGTCTGATATTCCAGATGGCATTTAACATAAGCCCACAACCTGTTAATCTTGCTTTTTTCCCAAATTTCAGTTCTAAAAGCAGTAGATATATCAAGACATATCATTTTTTTTTGTTCTGCTTACTTTACCTTCATGTAGTCTTTGATAAGTCGAGCTGCCTTCACACCAGTTTCTACATTAAAACTAATATCAACTTTCACCTCTGTAGCCTGGTCTGTAAGTTTAATTATTGGTACCTGCAAAAGTAGTAAAATCAACCATTCAGTGGACGCCAATAATTAATATGACATTTGCAGAAATTAATCAATGTTTCAAATCATTTAAAATAACCAGTTCATTTAGACAGCACATTTTACATTTGTTAACACACAGCTAATGTAAATATAAATCTATTTCAACCTTTTAAATAACTATTTAATTATAAGATGGACATTTAGGGAATGATTGTTCTCTTTGTTTTATATTAAATGTTATAAAACTTCTTATCACATTTCATTTATTGTTACTTTTTATTATTATGTTTATATATTATAAATTGTGTACCATGAACGTTCTGTTATTTTGCATATTGTGTTTTGAGCTGTCATGAGTCTGGAAGATATTGATGGTATACAGATTCAATAAATACGCAATGTGTTTGTATTCTTTCATTCTCTCATATTAGTGTTGCAGATGCTAAGATATTTTCTTGCTAATTTAAATGTCTATTATGATTCTAATATGGCAGGTTCCATTATACTGTACAGTCTCTATTACTTAACAACATTTTATACATATTACAAAATCTGTCACTGCCAATGGCAACTACTCATATAACCCTTGTTGCCATTTCTTTAGTTTGATAGAGCAATTGGCATTTTGAAAGAGGAAAAGTAACAAACTCTTTTGTGCAATGTTTAATTAATTAATTTCTATATTATAATGCAGATGTCATGAAACTCATCTTGGCAAAGGTGATGAGGTCACTATTAATAAGGCATTAAACATTTTAAATATTTAAACTGTATCAATTATTTACTATATGGCCAAGAAGCAGTTTTTAAAAAATATTTTTAAAAAAATATTACTAACCCATCTTGAATACTATGTTATGAATTAGAAAGCTGAAATATATGTGGGTGAGTTGCAAAATGTACTTTGATTCTAACACTGGGAGAGAAAGAGGAGAGAAATACACTGAGCATTTAACACAATCCCATACTGAAATTTCCATATTCTTTAATATCTTTTTGGTTTTTGCCTCTAGTGTAATAACAGAACCAGAGAACCACCTGCTTACAACAGCAGATCTAAAAGGGTTTCTTAAAATAAAACTAGAGATTTGGTATCTAAGGCATGGAATGTTCACGGATCTATTCACATCAATGGCAAACATTTCCAAGTGCACTTAAGTTTAGGTTGTTAAACTCTATCTCATTTACAGCAACGTGCTAGTCTAAAAACAGCATGTGTATCTGTTTACTTAGAATTCAAATGGCATACTGAAGCTCTGAACATTACTGATAATATTGGAAATTTAAAGCGAAAGGGAAATGTCACTTTTACTTGGGAAGAAAATGACACAGTAGTAAAGGAAGAATTAAAGTCATATAGATATTTTAAAATAGAAGCAGCACACAAACTAGATATTTTAATAAAGTTTCTACCTATGCAAAACAAGTTATGACTCACAAGCTAAAGTCAGCTTAGTTTAACATATGCCAAGAGAAATTTTCAAATGTCAGCACCAGCAAAGCTGGACACATCATCTGTCTGTGATGTTACCAGGACTTTAATTCAAGTTTAAAAGGATAAAAAATAGAAAAACAATAGTGTATGAAATGTATTTCAAAATGAAAATTAATCAGGACACACGCATGATTGTTCAGCAAGTATTAAGAATAGCTCATAATGCAATCTTTATTGATTGAAATAAAATTGTTAAATTGATTTAAGTAATCATTATATTCAGGGCTTTTTTTGTCATAGAACGCCCAGAACGGAGTTCTGGCACCTTTTTTGGATGCAACCTTGTAGGGTAAAGGCGGGTTGTATGACATGTGTGAGTTTTGGCACCTTTTTTTTTTTTTTTTTACAAAAAAAGCACTGATTATATTAACAAAAATAAAACTTTTCAGGCATTCTTTGTCATGCCAGATGTTGAAATGGTTTGAAAACAAACAATATGAGCTAATTTAGAGCTAATGCCAAGAAGTCAGGAAGGCAGGAAAACTGACAGCAATTGGGAAGAACATTTTCACAAACAATACCTATTATTAAATTGCAGTTGAGAAAACTTGACAAAAACACAATATAAACAAGCAAACAATGAACCCAAAGTACAGGTAGTCCTTGACATACAATTATAATAGAGCTTGACTATTACTATCATAAGTCATGGCAGTCATTCAGCAAGGCGCCCACATGACTGTCTGTCTTAAATACTACAGTTCCTGCTCTCTCTGTTACAGTTGTTAATCAAACATGTGGGTTATTAAGCAGAGCCTGGGATGCCTCAAGGGATGGAGGCAGGCTTGGGACTCCAGGAACAGGGCCCCATACTACACCACTGAATGGTCGTAAATTGAGGGGTACCTGTAAAATATAAACATGTCTGACAATATAACTTTCCCTCAATAAGGAAAAGTTCAGGAAAACTTGTTTTAAATTACTTACTGTAGCTTTGTCAAGTACTTTAATCGAATGTGGCTCGGCCACATTGTGTTTCCTTAGGGCTTGTTCTAGCTGCTGGAGAGGTGGGCTCTCCCATTTTCCAAAAACCACTAAATCAATATCACTGTAGATATAAAAACATAGCTAAAGTTATTAGAAATTTAGATATTATACAACAATTCTTTGAAGAATAGGCAAATAACGTAATTTGAGAGAGTTTGAAACATACATACAACATAAATATATCTCTGAATTGTCAAAGCATCCATGATTTTTGTGAAACTTGCAAGCTGCTTCAAAATCTGTCTTAACTGTATCTGCAGGCTGATCGACAATTCAAATGCTTTAACAATTTGAAGACAGATCTTTGTTCACACTATGCATGTTGCAAAATACCTCTTTCTAGTTGTTCATACAGTCCATATACACTACCTCCTTGATTTAATAATATTTAATCTAATTATGTTAGTTATTCGTTCAAAATCAAAATTTTAATAGAGTAATATATACAGCAGCCTTTCTCTGGTCCCAAGTCATATTGGACTACAATTTCATTATTTCCCAGTCAATTTGGTTGTTAGGAATCCTACTCCAATACATCTGGAAGGCACAAAGCTGGGAAAGGGTAATATAGAAGTTAAAATGATATAGAGCTTCAGCATAAAACAAACTTCCCTGACAGCTAATACTGATATTTTTGGGTTTTTTAAAGTTTGGTTTAGAAGTTCTTTCATATCCGAGTTGTTCAGAGTTTTTTTGTAACTGAAAGTTGTAGAAGGAGAATATTAATGTTTCTATATGTTCACACTATTGTACAAAAGATGATAAATTAAAAATGCTAGTAGCATCCCTAGAGATATAGTACTCTAATGTGTTGATGTAAGAATTTTTTCAGGTTTGCAGCTAAACCTGAAGAATCAATACACAGTTAAAATTAAACCAGATGTCTTTTCAATTATGTCAATTTTAAAGAGACACTAAAATACAATTTATATAACTTACTACACATAAATCTAAGTTAATGAAAATGCAATAATTGCATTATTCCTTCTCTGTATTTTTTTTACTGTGCTCAACATCCCTCTTTTTCCTGTATTGACGTCTTGATAACCAGTGAGGTTGGAGTGGTAATATAAGTCTTTTTAAGGTGCCATGGAATCTTTTTGCTACTATTACATAATGTTAGAGCCAACAATGCATATGAAAAATGTCCAGACTCACCTTGTTGGCAGATAAAGTCCTGTACTAAAACTCCCAAATATTTGAACCTGGAAAAGAAAAACATCTATAGTGAATTAATTGCTAAAAATTTCTAAAATTAAAATATGTATGTGGTCAAAATTAAGTTAAAATGGTGTGCAGAGCACCAACTTAAGCTTACGTCAGCTGTAGGCCAAAGATCTTTGATGACAGTTTCTATTCTTTTCACAACTTCTCGTCTCATAACTGCTTCTTCAGGACATGGGGACATAAAGTCATAAAAGTCAATTATTTCTTCATGGAGCCTATGGGAAGAATAAAAAAAAAAATCAATAGCAACAGAAAGAGAACCAAATGAGCTAATCTATTGGTGACTGTGGATGCTAATCTGGATTTGCAAGTAGAATATTTCAATTTCAGTTGCATAATTATTCTAGGATTCCATCTTTTTCTAGAAGTTGAACAATAAAAGGATTATAAAGAATAAGAATCAGATTTGCTTTTGTAGTAGACACATTAAATCAAAATCAAGCCTAAGATTTCCATACTTTGTCTCACACAAGCAATATTTCTCTTCACTTACCTCTAGCATGCTTGAGATCACTTCACATATGTATGTAGATAAGCAGAAAAGTATCTGTCCATGTTAATCATCCATCCATCTGCGTCATCATAGTCATAGTTATTACTACTAAATAATTATTTAGATTTATATCCCACCTTTTTGTTCAGGAGCATAAAGCACTGAACATATTGGTCTCTTCTCCCATTCTTTTCCCTACAATAACCATATGTGAGATAGATTGGGCTGAAAGAGCATTAATGACTGGTAAAAAGTCACCCAATGAGCTTCTATAGTCAAGGACAGAATAGTATCTGGGTCTCCCTAATGTTATATAGTGTAGAAAATACTTTCATTTTCCTTATATTTCTTGATAAACACACAAACTAAACCAGTGGTGGCAAACCTACGGCACGGGTGCCACAGGTGGCACTCGGAGCCCTATCTGTGGGCACATGCACTGTCTCCCCAGCCCTGCCTCCTCCCACGGCCCCCTCCTCACCACCAGCCCCTCTGGAGGAGAGTCACCCCTGGGCGCAGCCCACGTGAAGCAGCGCAGCCAAGGACATGGTAGCCAGGCAGTGGGGACAAGACTCTGCCCTAGCGCCCCATCGCACACAGATGATGCTGCAGGGCATGGGTGGAGGGTGTGGCCGCCATGGCGCAGCTGGGCTGCCTGGGTCATCTGTGGCGGGCCGTGGAGGTGGTAGGTGGCCCAGTGGGCAGTGCGGAGCAGGGATGGGCGTGGGGGCGGTTTTTGGGCACTCGGTCTCTAAAAGGTTTGCCATCACTGAACTAAACTATACAAAAAGTAAATTTATGCATGGGACCTGCAAAACCTTAGAAGTGTGGAAGAGTAGTTGGACTTACTGTGAAATACCTTTCTAATCACAAGAAAAGGGAGCCAATACACACAAAATTAATTCTACCTCATTCAACTAGGACAGTGGTTCTCAACCTGTGGGTCGGGACCCCATTTGGGGTCGATCGACCCATTTCACGGGGGTCGCCAAGCAAGGCTGTCCGCCATTTTTTTTGTCCGCCATTTTTTCCCCTTTTACGGCGGGTGCCTTACCTCCCTTGGGCTAGGCCAGCTGGTGGTCGGCCTACTCTGTCTCTGCCGCTTGCCAGCTATGCCTCGGCCGGCGCAGGGGGCGGAACCACGCATGCATGGCGCTCCCGGGCAGGGAAAGTCCTCGACTTACGACCGGTTGGGTAGTCCTTGACTTACGACCGGTTTAGCCCTCGACTTACGACCGGTTTAGTCCTCGACTTATGACCGGTTTAGTCCTCGACTTACGACCGGTTGGGGTCGCGGCATTAAAAAGGTTGAGAACCACTGAACTAGGAGATGGGGCTTAAGACTTCTTCCTGTTTCATGGAGGAAATCCCATCCCTTCAGTTAAATGTACTGATTTCAAATGAGTAGGTTCAATTCTTCCTATATCATGAAGAACAAGGATGATTGGGGGTGGAGGCTAAAACTTATGAAGAACATAAGGAATTGGGTATGTCTAGCCTGGTAAAAAGGACTAGGGGAGACATAATAGTGTTCCAATATTTGAGGGGCTACCATATAAATGAGGAGGTCAACCTATTTTCCAAAGCACTAGAAGGCAAGATAAGAAACAATGGATGGAGAGAAGCAACCTAGAACTAAGGAAAATTTTTCCTAACGGCGAGAACAATTAACCAGTGGAATGCTTTGCTTTCAAGAGTTGTGGATGCCCCATCTGAAGACTTTTAAGAAGAGATTGGACAGCCACTAGAAATGGTATAGGTAGGGTCTCCTGCTTGAACAGGGAATTGGACTAAAAGACCTCCAAGGTCCCTTCCAACTCTGTTATTCTATGTATTCCACTTGTAAATGATAAAATACATGGGAGCAACATATAACAATCATCATAGTAAAGTCATTCATATATTGCTGCCTGGATAATCTCTTAATCTACTTCTCCTCCTAAATATGTGCATCTTTCTGTGAACAGTAAGATACTTCACAGTAAGTTTAACTATTGTCCTTGTTCATCAAAAATTGAACAAACAGAAAAAAGGATATACTTAATTTAACAGTATTTCCAAGTTAGAACAATTTATAACATTCTTTGTGATCAATCCATTTAAAATCTGGATCTGAGATGAACCATCTATTTTAAAATTGCTTTTGAAAATAGATGACGGTCCCAACTAATTTCTATTAATTGTTCTTCTACATTAAGTCTGCTCCTTGGGAAGCTGTGGCACAGGAAGGGAGCAATATCTCGTTAGCTGAAAGGACATTTTCTCACTCACTCTGTTAATTGTGGAGAGGAAAGTTAAATGACTACTGATATTCTGTTTGCAGGAGAGGTTATCAGCTTTTCATATCTCTACCGTACATTGTTTGTTAGATCCTCCAAGCCTGAGCTCATCTCCTTTGAATCAAGAAGCTGGAAAACATAATCTCTCGTGTTCAATGAAATTAGGAATTTCATTTGAGGTATGAAGCAGGGATAAAGACTGGAAGACCTGTCCTTGTGGAACGTCCCACCAACTGAAAGCAATCCATCTCTTATCTCTCCAAGATGAGATTAGGGCTACAAAAGAGCAGACTTAAGAAAGCTAGTGGGATTTTGTCTAATGGTTTGAGGAGGAAATTAAAAACTTGAGTACTGTACCAATGATGAGTACAGTCTAGTAAAAATGGTGGATCACTGAGGGTGACTGACATGCATGTCTAAGCAATTCACATGAAGGTTGTCTGAAGAAGATGCTATCTGTTGATACCAGACAACTAGATTCTAAAGCAGCTGCCTACAGCTACAGCCTGATAGTTGCTAGCCCTTTCTTCAACTCTCTCTATAGAAAATGCAATAATTCAGGGATCTCTATTGTCAGTACCAAAGATTTCTGACTTTTGCATCATCATTCAAATATGTACCAAACCATCCCAAAAAAATATGGCCTTACATTGGTCTCCATTGTTGAACCTGAAGGTTTCAGGCTCGCTTTGTTAATTTTTGTTACTTTGAGCTTCAGTGCAACACCAGAACTTGAGAAAGGATGTCTGAACATTTCAGGAATTACTGCAGTTTCCTGTCTGGTCTCCTTTAAAAGAAAGGAACATGGCCTCCTGGTCTAGAATGATTTGACTAGAATTTTCTAGTCCCTGAACAGCTTAATTTGAATGGTGCTTTGAAAAATGCTGTATAAAGCATGTCCTTTCAACTATGGTACTATTAGGGCAGGGCTTTTCAACCAGTGGTACGGGTACCACCTGTGGTACATTGGCACCTGGCAGGTGGTACACGACCATCCTAGAAAAGTGGTAGCGGGGGAGGGGAAAAAGCTGAACTGGTGGCAGCACTGCACAAGCCTGAGCGAGAGATGGCTGCAGCTGCAGGGCTGTCAGGGCTCAGCGGAAGCGCCAGGCTCCAGCTGGAGCTCAGCGCTGATCCTGGTGCTTCTGCTGAGCCCAGAAGAAGCGCCGATCAGCTGGAATGTTGCAGCCTCTCCAGGGTCTTGTGATTTACATTCAGATGCTTGGCAACTGATTCATATTTATGACGGTCGCAGTGTCCCAGGGTCATGTGAAGTGACCAAAACCTGCTGCAACCACCCAGCAGACAGGGGGAATAAAAACCAAACACCCCCCACCCCACCCCCACTGCCAATCCTCAACAGAAATGCTCACAACAATGAAAACCTCAGACAGGAGGAAGAGCGCCGCCAGGTGGCCGGGAAGGTGTCTTCCTCGGCTGTGGCTTGGGGGGCACTTTTTTCAGTGCCATTGTAACTTCGAACAGTCACTAAGCGAACTGTTGTAAGTCGAGGACTACCTGTACTTTATCACTTTTTTCCTTTTTTTTTTTTTTTTGGTCATCAAGCTTTTGACACCTTGCTAAGCGACTGGTGGTACTCGGATACTGCCATATCCTAAAAGTGGTACAATGGGTGAAAAGGTTGAAAAGCCCTGTACTAATGCAGGGATTGAATTACCTTGCTTGGCAATGTTATATGCAACTGTGTTCAGCTGGTAATCTGATTCTGAAATGCAAGACTAAATCACTACAGTCATCTTGCTCTGTAACCTTGCCAATTTCATATGTGCTAACATTCTACATACTAGCCTTTTCCTGGCTTCAAAGTGCATTCAACATATAAAGATGGACCTCTGCGTTCTTAAATGCTACATAAGAGCTGCCACTGCTTTGTTAAATATATTGGGGGATTGTGCCAGCTTGAAAATGAGCACAGGTAATCTTCAACTTACAACCATTCATTTAACGACCATTCAAATTTACGCAGCACAGAAAAAAAGTGACTTACAACCATTCCTCACATTTACGACGGTCATAGCATTCCCACAGTCATGTGATCAAACCTTGGGCACTTGGCAAACAGCATATATTTATGACAACTGCAGTGTCCCTGAGTGATACGATCATCATTTGAGACCTTCCCAGATGGGGAGGGTCTGACAAGCAAAAGTCAATGGTGGAAGCCAGATTTGCTTAACGACCACATGGTTCACTCAACAACTGCATAAATTTGTTTAATAACCATGGCAAAAAAGGCCATAAAATTAGGAGTGACTCACTTAACCACCTTGCTTAGCAAGGGAAATTCTGGTCTCAATTGTGGTCCTAAGTTAACCTGTATTCTGAACTGAAACAGAGCGCTCTCGTATGAAATCTATGAAACCACTAGTGGGAGATTCTGACTGAAATCTTTAAATAAGTCTCTAACAAACCTATGAATCTA